ATCTATTCACAGTTTTACCGGTCCTGGGCCCGCCCCTAGGGGGCTGGGGGCCGTCGGCCTGGTGACGCTGTGGGGCCCTGTGGCCCGTGAGACGCTGGTCGTGATTGTGAACTGAGGGGAATGTTGGGCTGTGGCCTCACGTGGACTGGTCGCCTTGGTCGGGCCTCCCCCTCCCCCGGCCCCCACCCCTCCCCGGCCCCCCACCCCCTCCCCCGGGCCCCCCACCCCCTCCCCCGGCCCCCCACCCCCTCCTCGCCTCCCTGTGCGCTCTTCTTGTTGTTGTGTATTATATGTACAACAATACTATGATATTTATGAATAACGATTAGAATACGGGTAAACTGTGGCTCGGCCAGGTGTATTGTAAGCCTATAATGTGTAAATAGAGTAGGGTTCCAACTTCCAGGCGATAGGACACGATGGTGACAACTGACAAGCGACTCCCTGTCAAGTGTCAACAGTCAACTTATCACTCATCAGAGCTCAGAGCCTCAGACTCACTCAGACTTCAGCAGGAAAAAAACACAACAAATGTACCGACACCACCTGCCTGACCAGGCTGACCACCAGTCACCCCAGCAGAGTGCATACTCCAGAGGACCAGCAAGTCTCTCAAGCTATAGAGTAGAGAGATACTCTACATAGTTCTACTAGACTCCAGAGATTTGAGCAAAATATGTTTTAGAAAAAAACTGCACAACTCCTCTAACTCTCTTGTAAATTCTTGAAGAGTCCGTATACTGTATAAACCATAGACTGAATGAGTGTGCATCGTGCAATGAGCCTCCCACGGTCATTCCCGACAATGAAATATATACTTTTTTTTGCATCCAAATTTCAAAAGGCATGGGTTTTCAGTCTTTGTCAATTTTTCATATAGAGTACGTATGCTATGATGCCAGATATACTGCCAGAAAGGACTGTTAGGTATGGATGGACTTGAAAAACGCTTCCGTGTGGCTAGATCGACCCAGTTTGGTACAAACTGGAATCCTTTATAACTTTTTAACCAATAGTCCGATCGGAATGAGATTAAGTATACGCCCATTATTCGTCAAGACGAAAAATTTGAGTTGTCTAGCGTCCAATCAGATTGATTTTATAAGGTACCTCTAGGTCAACCTCTATAGTAAAAATCTCCCTTCTCTTAAACCCAAATTTTATGTATTCCACTCCTATTTGGAAGGGTATGATTTTTCTGTTTTCATGACAAAATTATATTATATGAAAAGATCTCAGATTATGCTTTGACTCCGAGTCCGAGAGTGCGAGTTCCGGATTTCCTGTTGCGCAAGTGTATTTAAAAATGTGCTACATTAAGATCACACTGGTCACTATATATATACATAAAACCTACTCTGACCACTCCAATCAGACACATTTTCAAGCACCGATAACGCGATTCCTTTACAATTCTACATAGCGCTGATTCTCTCGCTCTCTCTCGTCTCCACTACTCCATTTATGTATATTGTATAATCTATTTAGTATTTTCAGACTCGTCTACAGTCTACAACTCTACACTCTACATGGGCTTACACTCTACAGGCTACAGTCTACACTACACTTCTACAGTTTACGCTCTACAGTCTACAGTCTACACACTACAGTCTACAGTCTACAGTCTACACTCTACAGTCTACATTAGTCTACACTCTACAGTCTACACTAACACAGTTATGGCTCACAGTCTCACTGCCCACGCCCCACAGTACAGTGTAATTATCACCGCCTCACCGCCTTCTTCTATCTTGTTGTATGTAAATACATAGGCTTCTCTCTCGTCCAGTCTTCTTTTCTTCACTCTCTCTTGTGTGTGTACAGTCACTACAGGCACTAAATACAGTCTTTACATATGCATATATAAATACACTCGTCGTACACTATGTGCAGTTGCACACCACTACTATTTACAATCACAGTTGACACTTGTTCACAGTACTGACAACTGAGTACATTCTCGCTCTACTCATTGAGAGAGAGTACTCTATAATGAGCTGGGAGAATCTCTACTAAAATAGTATTTAAAAATAGAGAGAGTAGACTTCTACATAGCGCCAAAGTGAAATACTGTATGTATTGTAATTTATTATAAACAAATATAGAAATAAAAATATTTGTGTTGATGAATTCATTGAATTGATGACTGATGAACTGATGAACTGATGATCTGGTCCTGGTCCTGGTCCCGGACCTGAGGGCTGAGGCGCTGAGGCCTCACAAATAATTCGTTAACATAAAAGGTACTACGTTTTCATAAGTTTTAAAGGGATCCAATTCTTAAAACCAATTTTGTTTGGATCTAACTTATATGGTCTAATTAATAATATGTTTTGACAGTAGAAAACCCGTCCAACTATAGTTGGCGATTTATACCAAATATAAAAACGGGCACAAACCCAGACCCCCCAGTATACTACCTGAAAGCGTTAATGAAAAATGTAGATACTACGTTTTTACAAAAGGTAAAACGCGTATTGAAGCCTGAATTCAGGAGATGATTTTTTTCTTGATTTTTTTAACAAAAGTAGGTATTTATTTAAATACATATGTACGTAAAAATATATATTTATATTTTTAAAAAACCAAAATACTGTATTGGTCAAAAAGAAATCCAAAATTGACCTAAAAATTGCACCTAATATTTGATATTTTGCCACTTGATGCCGTATAAATCAATGAAAGAGTGAGTGTTAGAACAAAAAAAATTAAAACTATACAGTACATATTCTACTTATTTATATAGAATGCTATTCCTGGCCTCTTTTTGAATAAATGGTTCAATTTTATCTTCATACTTTTGTTGAAAAAAATAAAAACACTACAAATATATATATTTATTTAGCCAACACAAGGTTTAAAAATGGTTTGAAACCGTTTCCCCGATTTCAGGTCTGCCTAAGCTCATTACGTTATGGGGATACGGAATAGAAGTTGAACGTAACCGCATATTTATTCATTTTTAAACCGTTATAGGGGTTATAATTTGAACAGAAGGGCCTACTTACGTGTTTTTTTTATAGGACTGGTTCAAATTGTGAAAACGGTACACACTAAAAAATCTTCTGACCCGCAAGGTACACCTATGTGCATACAAAGGACCGTATATGGAATAAAAGTTGAACATAAACGTATATATATTCGATATATAAAAGTTTTAACAGAAACCGGTTTGAGATAAGTTTCAGGATCCCAGAAGAAAATCTGGTTTTTAACTGAAAAACGAAACTTTTCGATTTGTAAGCTTGTTTACGTATTACTAATAGAAGCCCAATTTATCTACGAATTCGACTATCGATTCTATTTTATTCTTTTTAAAAAAATATCCCAAATACGTGAATAACGTGACTTTTCAAACTCCCAATTCCAAAGTACCAAAAACCACTCAACCAGTCACACAATAATTCGTTTTCATCTTAGGAAATTGAAAAATAAACTCTGTCCCACGCCTATGGCACGCTCTCGCACGCAGCAAACACGCAGTTCTGTATGACGTTCTTGTAGGTTGGTTCAGTCAGGTCTCAGGAACGAGGAACCTCAGACTTTCGGGCTTAGGCCTTTGGGCTTAGTAGCCTTAGCACTCATGGGTCAAGGGCCAATGCCCGATGGCTATGACCTATTACATATTCTCATATGTCGTTTGTTTGAGACTGATTAAGCTGAGTTCCATTGATTTTATATAGAAAACATGACTCATGCGACAGTAAAATATTTAAAAAAAATGCTGACGCCTGACGCGCACGCCTGACTCTGCGAGTCGACAACGGGCACTGATCACTGATGCATTTGTAATCTAAACCTATTGTTCACTAGCAGAGATCATTGGCAACATGTAATCGCGCGTTAATTGGTTCAAATACAGGTGAGCATTGATTTCAGTGCTCAGACTGTGTCACTCTGAGAGTACGTCAGTCTGAATCCCGCAGAGACTCTGTCATTACTCATTTCTTGTAGCGTTCAACGGTTCAGTGAGTTTCAGTTCACCTCTAAGGCTCTACGCTCTGGCCCCTCGGGACTCTGGAGTCTTAGTTCAAAATAAATAAATTGCGGTCGTTGTTTTTTTATTAAATTTATCGGTCATTTCCTGACCTGTAATTTTATGCTAAAATATATGTACTTTTTTTTATACAAATATTTACACAGTTTGTGACGTACATACCAAAATACATACTGAACAGTGTGACCACTTTGACGGTTGACCGTGCCAAGTTGACTACTTTGATATTTATTTATGGAAAAAATATAAATACAAGTCTAATTTGTAATATGAAAATCTACATAATAAAGTCAGGAAAAAATACTAACAATTTTTACACCACCCCCCATCGCCCTTATAATTTGGTAGAAATATTTCATACCCTAGTAAACGACAGGAAGCCTCTGTTTTAAACAGGAATCCTGTTGATGTTATTATGGATGCAACTGTTATCAGTCAGAATCAGTGCCTACTGCCAAATTCGTCATTCGGAAGATGGGAACAAACATTTTTGTATGAAACTGTGAATACTTTGTGAAACCGTGAATAAATATGTACTGAAAACTACTATTTTTTTAATTCAATAAAATATTACAATAAAAACCTAAAGAAAAACATGCAATTTATTTATAAAACAATTGGAACTTCACCAAATAGATGAGTGGAAGAAAAGGAATTGTAAGAATTTGCCCCTGTCCGCGTATACATAATTTACTTCATGATATTTTGCAACAAAGTCTGTGACTGGACCTGGTGAGGCCCTGGGAGGCTGGGACCCCTCATTCCGCATATTTTGTGTTATTTCATATTTCATTTGAGGGCAAAGCGAAGAAAAAATAAATAATAAAGCTGGTCTCTTGGAGAGAGGCGTTCACAACTTCACAACGCCATTAAAACAGAAAGTCAAAAAAGTCGGTTAAATATATTTAACTGTTACACCGCAAGTCCGCAACTAGTCCAATAAATGCACACCAACAATATCGGTAATCACACTCATTAATTAGACCACGGTTAGTTAATAGTGTCAATCATATCAGATATCAATATGGGAATGCGTCGGGACAGCGAGAGTCATATCGTGCACAAACGCCGCAGTATTACACCAAGGTGTATCTTAGGTTTAGATCCTGCGAGATCAGCATTGAAGGCACGCGACGGAGAAGGTAGTGTGATACCGGGATTTGCTATAGATTGTGATGGTTTCAAATCTTCTCAAAATCTATATAAGCTCTACAATCATCGTACAACGTCAGTGGTGGACAGGAATAACGCAGCGTTGAATACCTTAGGTATTCAGTCTCGAGGTCATGCATACGAAGAGGAAACCAAGACCGGTAGTATCTTAGAGGATATTAAACAGAACAGTGAGCAGGCTTTAGTGGATTTGCGAGCTCAAGAAATCCGCTTAGCTGTTTTAGAAGCCAATAAGCCTATTGAGTGTCGGCGAGGATGGCGTAAAGCAGTTAAATCCCGCTTGCCGAACGACATTAAAAAGCTGGATACTAATCTGTACTTACAATGGTGGAGAAGTGCTTTCTACACTAGTGGAAAAGACGTACATAAGGTCATTCTTGAGGATATCGCCACACAGAAAGCTGCACAAAGTGAGAGACAAAGAGGTACATGCCAGGCATGTAGCAACGAGCAGAAATGGGCTGGATTAGCCACCAAATCGCAAGAATCGTCCTTGGTGGATATCTGGGGACAGGGGTACACGAACATGAGTATCATCATGGATAGCGACCACGACGTCGTCATTGAAACTATGAGAAATGTTCATGACCGGCCACTTACACACAAAACGCAGGCCACAAGCAGCAATGCGTGGTGTAAAGTGTATACGACTCCACGTGTACTGAGACAGAGATCCTCGGATGTGGTCCAGGGTGCCAAATCACTCAAGTCTCGGGTAGTTTCTGGTAAGAACCGAATCAAGCAGTGGTCAATTGCCCGTAGACCCAGTTTTGGAAGTCGTGGCTCACTCTGAATTTAAGGCATTATAGCAACCTACGGCATGAATGCCACTTAGTAGGCGAATACGAAAGAAAGAAAAAAGTAACAGTATAGCAACCTGTAGGTAGTAAGAACTACATGATAAAAATTGTAAAATAGGGGTAGAAACCCTTTGGCGCAGAGCATTTCCTGCAAATGGATACCAGGCGGCTCTGCTGCCTCCAAAGTAACATCACTCCAAATAGGCAGTGACAGTGAAGACCCGGGAAGTTCAATATCGAGATTTCGAATTATTGCGCAAGGGATTAAGTGCACGCGTCAGAGCCATGTTTAGCACCAAATCACCTCATTAAATGAAATGAATATTATGAGCATATACTCGAAAAACAACCTTTTCTAAAAATGAAGCGAAGTGCCCTATTAAATTATCACGTTGTCAACATATTGTTTAATAATCGAACCGGACAGGCATGAATACTTTATAGCGCACGAGATTGTACAATTTATCAATTTGTATAACTTGAAACTGTCACTGTGAATTTAAAATTTTAATACTTCAATAGATGAGATCAAATAGTCTATGTTCAATGAAGTTGTAATCTTGTGATATGTGCCATAACAAAACAGATCACATTGTAGCGGTGCTGTCCACTAAAATGAACTGATGTCAGATAAGACCATCACGTTGTCATCCCAATTGATATATTAAATACAGATGACATATTTTTCATATCCCGAGATTGTAAATACGATTTCGTGAACTTGTACAAAACTTGAAGTTGTCACTGTGAGTTTTCTTCTATAGCGGAAACCAACAAATAGACTGAACACCCTTTTGATGGAGTTGTGATATCACAACTCGAATCACACTATTATCGATGGAATATGCTCCGTTCATCTCGATAAAACTGGTAAGGTATCAATCTGTCGTCGGATATTTACACAAATCGAATGGACCTACAAACTTCAATTTTTTTTATCCACGAAGTAATATTACATTGACCTGAATAAAAATATATATCGACGTACATACTCGATTTATATCGGAGTTAGTCTCAGCTTAATATCTTCGATCATCCAGGTTGTCAAACTGCAGAATGCAGACCTGGTTTTTATTTAGGGAAATATTGCTTTCCGATAAGAATTTTAATCGATATACCAAGTTTATATCGCGAGGTTTTGAGTACGTGTATTTAAATTTCTACTGTTTAATGTAGAAAGAGGAGGCCAATTTGAAAGGGAAAACGTGTAGACGTTTCTCTTCTACATTCAAGTACTTCTTCTCTATTGTTTGTACAGTATCCCAAGGTATATAATACCCTGGATCCTTAGGTATAAAATAGACGTAACAAATTAATTTTTATAACACTCCACATTAAAATTTGAGAAACTGTCCCATATAAGACTATCGCTAGTTTTTTCAAGGACCTAGCAACTAAAATAAAGGGCATGGCAAATACTGTATTTTGAAAATAAACTAAACAGCCCTTTTGTTCTGTGTACGAATTTCTTAAGTTCGCCCGTTTCGCATGCTAGCACATACTTCTCATTGTATAATATTAGAGTATAAAACGCTTATTTGGTTTCAGTATAGGTTATTCGAAACTCGAACCCCACAGGCAAGTGACCGCTGCCGTGCTCGGATACAGTGGCCAAATCCTCCCACATGTGCCATTATTTTTGCCCACTATTTGTTGAAAAGCAATTTTACGCACCTAGCACATTTGTACACTATTCAACACTCGGAGTGTTTTGTTTGTCAGTCACTTTTGACGTACACCTGATTTGAGTATTAAAACGAATGTATATGTATATGTATATGTATATGTATATGTATATGTATATGTATATGTATATGTATATGTATATGTATATGTATATGTATATGTATATGTATATGTATATGTATATGTATATGTATATGTACATGTATATGTATATGTATATGTATATGTATATGTATATGTATATGTATATGTATATATGCATATATATATATATTTGACCAAACAGACGGAGTTGCCTGTAAGATACATTATGATGCTTTATATACTCTTATTTTCTTTCATACTTTGTCTCGCGATTTTGAGCATCAGCAATTACGCTAGATTCGAATAGTCTAAGCAAACTATCACATTAATCTGAGGTGTATTTCATACGTCAATCATCAAATGAACAGTCCCTAATTCACCGGAGATAAACAGTTTTGTCTGTTGACACAGAATATCCGTACCACTACACCAACAAGCAAATGATCCCTGCATTGATAGTCATTGCTTCTAGTAACCCACCGAAAAGAAACAGACACATAGAATAGCCGCACAACTACACCAACAGGTGAATAATTTCTGCATTGATAGTCATTTCTTCGAGGAATTCACCGAAGAGAAATAAACCACTACGCCAACAGCACTACACCAGCTGGTAAATGATCACAGCACTGATAGCTATTGGGACTATGTGTCCAGTCACCGTATCTTTCTTAAAGCCACTATTAAAATGGTTTGACGATACAAAGTCATACTGAAAAGTGGTCGCTGACTATCTCATTATTATTGTTCAGGACATGGCGCCCAAACATGTTCCAATTTTCGTGTTCCAACCCAAACATGTTCTATTTCTGGCGGTTGTGGAACAATATTTCGAATATATTCAGACTAGGCGGAGACGCTATAAATCCAGACCGCCACACCATTAGGCAAATGATCGCTTCCATCCTCGTGTCGCACACAGTATTTGTTACAGCCAGTAAGTGGGGTGGTTGTTTATATATATAGGCAAAATAGCGATCTACATATAAATCTATGGATAGCTTCAAACTTCCTATACCTCGACTACACTGAGGTGCTACAATATCCGAGTTACAATATAAATAGCGAAGCGTATGATCGTCAACTTATTTATTCATTCTTCGGACATGCACGGTCACACATCGAATCTCTCCCTACCCAAGCATGTGCTATATACTTTCAGTATTCCACCTATATTAACTGAGCAATTAAATTGTAAAGCACCGACGATAAACAAACTTTTCTGTGCCCGGTTCCGAACTTCATTTCTTCAAAGTGCACACAGCAACATCCGGACCAACACACCGACAGACAAGTGGTCGCTCCCTTGCTGGTCATTGATGCACTCCTAGTCGCGCACTGTATCTCTCACAGCCAGAACATGAATTGATTGAATCAATTATAAATATGCCAATGTTTTATATGCCAATATTTTCGTGAGTAGTTTCGAACTTTACTTACGCAACCTATACTGTGGTGATATAATGCCCAAACCACAACCCCGACAGGCACGTAATCGCTCCCTTGTCCGTCGTTGGGACAGGCCCGGTCACACACAGTCTCTCTCACAGACAGTGTATGAGTTGATCAAATATAGTCTACTGTAGATAAAATAATCTTATTTGGGAATAGTTTCGAACTTTATTTAGCCATGCTACATTGACGTGCTAAAATATGCGACCCTGACCTCAGAATCTAGATACAATAGTCTACTGTTAAAATATAAAAAATCATATTTGTGAAACGTTCCAAACTTTATTTACCCATACTACACTGAGGCACTGAAATTTCCAAACCACCACACCAACAGTATTTATTAATAAATTTAGTCTACTGTTGATAGACAATCTTATTTGTGAATAGTTTCAAACTTTATTCACCCATACTACACTGAGGTGCTCAAATGTAGTTAATACTGTTGATGAACAATCCAATTTGTGAATAGTGTTGAACTTCATTTACCCATACATACCACAAACAAAATGTAAATAGTTTGCTGATGATAAACAATCCAATTTGGGAATAGTTCTGAACTTTATTTATCCATAGTACACTGAGGTGAACATGTAATTTACTGCTGTTAAACAATACAAAATGTGAATAGTTCCGAATAATATTTACCTATACTACACTGAGGTGCTAACATGTAGTTTGCTGTTGATAAACAATCCAATTTGTGAATAGTTCCGAACTTTATTTATCCATACCACACAGAGGTGCTAATATATCCGAACCACCACACCGACAGGCAGGTGATCGCTGCCTTGCTCGTCATTGGGACAGGCCCGGTCACACACACTATCTCTCACAGCCAGTATGTCTGGTGGTTGTAAGCCACCACCTATGTATATTCGATCATATCTACCCGAGAACACTTCCCCTTCTCTCTGCGGACTGTCTTGCAACGGACACCCACACGCGTTAAGGTCGTGTTGCACTCCCCAGAACTTACCTGTAGATGGTAGGCAAGACAGGCGACAGGTATATAAATAGATGAGACCAACAGTAATATGAATCTATAAGAAGGAGGGGCATTGGTGAATATGAAGTGGATATAAGTACATGTTCAGTGGATATGAGATCACGTTGGACACCATTGTATTATTCGGAACAATGAGTGCAACTTCAATACTCAAGTTATAATATATTAATATATATATATATATATATATATATATATATATATNTATATACTATACATAATACATACTACATATATATATATATATATATATATATATAGTACTATATATATATATAGTAATACATACTATACATACACACACACACACACTATATATATATATATATATATATA